TGAATCCAATGTCGATACTTGAACACGCGCGGTTGCATTCGATGAAAGAATTGAAGCAAGTCCAGTCGTTGCACGTCTGGCAGGAAGGAAAAATACAGTTGATTTTTTTTTTCTCACCGAAATAGGATGAACAAGAATTGTCGCAAACGAATATAAATATGCTTACACGATGGACAAGATAAGAACAGAAGCCGGTTGTGCCAGTCTACCTTTCTCTTAGAAAAACCAAATCTTGTCCTACGAGTTTTGCTTGCTTAATATATTATACTTTTTTAATCTGACATTTTACGATAGAAATCGTAATGGCATAGAAGATAGCTTAAAATCATTTCATTATTTACATATAGTATATTTTAGAGATAATGAGGAAGTAAATTCTTCATATTAATAAAAATAATGTATTTTAAAACCGAACTGAACATATATAAGTTCATAATTAATTGGATATTTTTCAAGCGAATATTTTCTCTCAAATATAAAAGAAAGAAAAATGTAGGAACATTGATTGAAAATTGAATTGCGAATCATTAAGAATTTTTCTGTTTAAAGATCCTGGACGCCACACTGGTAACACGAGCGCAGCGCACCGAGGTCTTCGACTATTTTTCCGGACAACTTGGTTATCGCGTCCTTTTCATCGAGTGTATCTGCGATGATCCGGTCGTTCTGGAGAGAAATTACAAAGACATATTGCGATACAGCGCGGATTATGCTGGCATGGATCCGGTACGGGCTGAGGAGGATTTACACCTCAAGGTAGCTCATTATATTAGATCTTATGAGCCGATGGACGAGAAGACGTATCCTCGAATCCGTATCGACACTGGCAGCATGGACATCGAGACTTGCAAGGTGTCAGGCCATGTGGAGTCAAGCGTACTTGGATATCTTGGAAGTGTTATGGTCAAACCGCATACTCTTTATTTCTCTCGGGTTGGTAATCGATTAAATTTTATACTTGACACCGATTTTAGAAACGTTCGAGTCTACGATACTTTTTTACGAAATAAAGACTTAGACATAGTTATTTTTAATCAATAGCAAAGCGTGTGCATGTTGAGTCAGATCATGGCACTTGTAATCATTGAATAGATTAATACACGTAAATAAACACTTCATTTTCAACGATATAATTTCATAATAAAGCTCGATGTATTGTTGAAACGCGCTTTGTGTTTTCAGGATTACGATATCTTATCAAAATCTAATGCTTAATATGATTATCTACGAGGATTTATACGACTCTTATTTCATTGATCTTATTGCCATTTTATTTTTTTCTTTTTTAACGTCATTATACTTTAATTACTTTATATTATACTTTAATATTATTTATAATCTTGTTCTCCTTGAATTATTGAACATATGAAATAGCAGTCTTTCTCAATTATAGCACGGTGAAAGCGAGTTCAACGTATTGGGTAAGGTTGGTGGCGACGCGGTATTAAGCACACGTGGCGAAAGATACGCACAAGCATTGGCCACAAAATTCAATGCTATGCGAATTCCTGATCTGCGTGTATTGACCAGTCGTCTTCGAAGGACTATCGCGACTGCACGTGGAGTAGAAGCACCACAAGAACACGTAGCTGCGCTTAATGAGCTCCACGCTGGTATCTGTGAAGGTCTTTCTTACGAGGAAATGCAAGAGCATTATCCGCAGGTAATTCAAAATCCCAAACAAGTTTCAACACATTTTAAAACATTTCTTTGGATTAACTCTCTTAATCTTTATCACTCTCTCATTCATTTTATACAATTTAAGCATATACTATATATATATAACTAGAAAATACTTATACCTGTCTCTTGAAAAGGTCTTGAAAAGAAAATTTCTAAAACTTAATCCAAAGAACCGTTTGAAATCATTCAACTTTCTGAAACTTTCATGTAGTAAAAAGTTTAAAATAATTCAAATTTACATTGTCTTTCACGACATCTGAAAATCGATTTTCTCAATTCAGGAATTTGCATGGCGCGATCAGGACAAGCTGCGCTATCGTTATCCATGGGGAGAAAGTTACATAGATGCGATGCAACGCGTAGAACCGATAATTGCTGAATTGCAGAGATCTGACAACGTCTTGGTGGTTTCCCATCAAGCTATTCTGCGTTGCATTATCGGTTTCTTCATGGATAAGAAGCCAGAGGAGCTGCCTTACATGGAAGTACCATTGCACACTATCATCCGAGTTAGCAGCCAAGGTTACAATTACAAGCTCGAGTTTTTCAAGCTACCGATCGAATGCGTGAATACTACCCGTGTCAAGCCGAATAATTGTAGCGCTGATAGAAGCGCGGATGATGCTCTGATAACAGTCCCACCGCATTTCGATATACCGGATCCTTGGAGAAATCCTGGCAGTGGACCTACTCTCGTCCAGCAACACTGAGAAACCGCTCGACGATCCACGATCTCGTCGAAAATTCGATCTTTGTTCGGTTGCAATTTCAAATTTTAATAATAATATCTTGAAATTTTGGTTAAATTTAAGTAGAATAATGGGGATTAAAATTGAAATTATTATACGAAAAAATTAATTGAGAATATTTTTAGAATGTACGTAGATCGTTTTAAGGTATCTTATCGTTTTAATTAATTAATCTGTAAGATCATTTCATATATTTGCCGATATCGTGGAGTAAAT